CTTTCTTCGCCATCTTATAATCTGTATGCTATAATCTGTTAGCGAAGGGGTGGTTCTTGAGCATATATCATGAAGATAGATTACAGGAAGATAGATTACAGCCTGTCTAATTCTATCATTACAGGAAGTAAGTGCATGTCTAATAAACAGCCTGTCTAATAAACAGGAAGCTCTACTGCCTCTCGTTTCTCTCTATGATTTTTCTCCCTCTATCTATCATTACAGGAAGTAAGTGCATGTCTAATTCTCAATTCAAATGTTGTTTGTCAAGTGTAAACATCCAACTGAAGAAAATAGATCCAAATTTCACGCTCCATTTGTGTAGACGGTATAAGCAGGGAGTTGCATTTAATTTTTTTCAAAGTATACGACAATTTGTCTAGAAGGTATAAGCAGGGCATTTAATTTTTTCAAGCTTTCACTGTAGTCCATGTTGGAATTGATCAGCGGCAACTGATTGATGTTTTCAAAACTGATTGATGTTAATGGTTGTGCTGACATAACATTGAGTTTGATGAATATATGTTAGTTTCTCGGGTTTTAAACTGAAGGGAGAAGTTATATCATCTGGAACTCCCTTTTAATCATATATAGCTGCTAATTGTATGTAAAAGAGCATTGCATATGAGGCATGTTTATTTTAGCTTCTTGTTTACAACAAGGTCTGCAAGTGGGTCTGTTTGGCTTTTAATTTCTTAACCGACAATTGTTTCGATTATAAAAAAGATCGTCACCTGTTGTCTTTGCTCTTGAAATTGAATGTAGTTTTGAGCGTTAACTGGCGTGTCTTGTTTTGCGCTTGCAGCAGAGAACAATGAGAGCGTCTTTGAACTTTGAAGGGGTTACTGGCTTGCTACCGACAAGGGTTAGTATTCAACTCGGTGCATCAGTCTTTGAGAAAGACCATTTGTGTAGGTCCTTTTTCATATCCATTTATTTTTCTTTACTCTGTCCTGCTAAGTTCTCATTACTTCTAGAGAAATTAGTTTTTTGTCCCTTTGTTTTCGGAATATCCCCTAGAAAAAGAACCCAGGATTTATATTTTCTTCACTCCCCTTTGGTTTTTCTCATTCTCCAAAGGGCTTTCTTTCTTAAAAGTTATAAAATGAGGACGACTAGTTTATTTTGTATTGTAGTGTTAACATAAAGATTCTTATGACTTGCAGGTGTTTGGTATATTGTGTATGAGAGGAATTTGTGCCTTGACATCATGGATAACACGCCACAATGCCTACTCTTCAAAGCCTGCCTTCTGTTTGTATGGCAATGTAAGCCAGCCTCGATTATTTGAATTTGGAATTGAATGTAGCACTCGTAAACTTATATGCTTGGGTCTGCAATTCTATCCTTTGCTTGCATTCTGTATATATTTCTAAATGCACGTTGATATCTCAATTTCGTTCAGGGGTGAGTATGATGGCTTACCTTTTCTTTTCGTTTATTTCCCTTGTTATGTAATGCTTAGAAGAACATATATTGTTATTAATATAATCGAAAAACTTGGTATGTAAGTTGTTGTGTATATTCTTGTTCCAGTACAGGCTGCTTTGACATGTTTGAACATTTTGAGAACGTTTCCTGTCTATGATTTCCACTGGCTTTATTGATATCTCGATGCTGCAGGGTTATAAGTGTGTGAAGTAGTTATGTCAATGATGTTTGTGGCTGAATTAGTCGACACGGTCTCATTTGCATAATGCTGCTCCGTTTCAACATTGTTCTCACCGTGTCGACTAATTCACTGTATCACGATATAGCTATTATAGTTTATAAAAACCCCCTAAAAGTTTACAGAAACACCCCAAAATTATTATATATATAGCTATTATAGTTAAACGGGCAAATGGGCAGCCTGATTATTAAATGGGTGGGTAAAAACCTGCCCATTTAGAAAATCTTAAATGTGCCATAAATGAGTAAATGGGTATAATATGCCCGTCCATTTATGACCCGCCCATTTAATGCCCAAACCCACCTGTTTAACAACCCTATCTAGAAGCCACCTATTGAGAAAAGTAAGTAAAGGATCAATCGGATGTCGAAACGATAAAATTATCTGGAATTTTGGAGTTTAGCATCCCATTTCTTTATATGTTGTACATGTATGAGACGTATATGTGAGGCTGTACATTGTCATCATTTGAAATTATGTATATGGTGGAAGTATGGTTATGATTGAGCACCGTAACAGATAATTAATGTGTATGGTTTTTGTCGCTGCATCAAGAAATACAAATGCAAAGGCCCCCAAAAAAGTCTGCAAAAAGCTCCCAAAATGTTTGCAAAGAGCCCCAAAATATTTGCAAAAAACCCCAAAAGTTTGCAAAAAGCCCCCAATAGTTTACAAAAATCCCATAATAGTTTACAAAACACCCCCTAAAAGTTTACAAAAAACACCCCTAAAGTATATTATATATATATAGGTAGTATAGTTAAATGGGCAAATGTGTGGCCCGTTTATTAAATGGGTGGACAAAAACCTGTCTATTTAGAAAATATTAAATAGACCATAAATGGGTAAATTGGCAAAACATGCTCACCCATTTATGACCCGCCTATTTAATACCCAAACTCACCCATTTAACACCCCTAAGGAAAATGTTGTTTTTTTAGTTGTGCAATTTGATAGTTCTTTATTTTCTTTTGGTATGCTGTGATATCTAGTTTGTTCATAGGGTAGAAATTGGAGTGACTATAGTTCTGTGTATGGACAAGTGTTTGTTTATTTTGCTGAGAATTTATTTATGTTTTCCTCTGTTTTAATACAAAATCTCGTGGAAGAGCCACTTTTGTGATTTCTTTTTAGCTTATATTGTTTCATTTTATGGGAAAGGAGCAAAGGGGCTCTACTTGGATATTGAACACTATTTAGCAACATTATGCCGTTATGGAGTACTTTGTCTCACTCTGTATAAAGATATTTAGCCTTTTTTTTTTACTTTCTAGAGTGAATTTATATTAAGTTTGGCTGTTGATATTTTTCTGAACTGTTTCTAATGCTGCTAACAGCTTCCGAAGATTATGGAGTTAGTGGGTCTCAGATACGCATGTAAGTATAAACTTAATTTCATATTTGCACACATGTATTTCTAATTAGAATTCATCAATGTTCGAATATCTTTACCACAGCGACCAAAGCAAAAGCATGATAACAATGCCCACATTGTCTCAGCTCAAGCTTCCAAACTATTAAAAGCTAGGTATCACATATAAAAAATTAAGAAACACAAGTTAACTTTAATTATCCATCATGTACTTGGGATGTTGTGTAGCGCCTCAGTGATTGTCCGTTGTTGAAGGAGATTCTTCCCGAGTCGATATACTTAGCTATCTTTAAGTTGGCGTTTGACGAGCATGAAGT